CCCTAGAGGGCCTTGCTGCCCCGCAGGGTTCCAGCCGTGCTGGCTGGGGCCCCTCGTGGCTGTGCCATCTGGAAGGCCTGTGGGGCGCGGCTATAGGATTAAGCCTCCGACCGACCTGTTGCCAAAATCACAAACAAGTCCCAGCTTAGAGGGCACAGTCCTTTTAGCATAACTAGGCTGGACCTAATAACGCTCCCTGGGTCTTACCTGGGAAGCTAATGGGCTGAGGTGCTGCCAAAACAAGTGAAACGCACAAGAACAGTGAAACTTTGGTACCCACTACCTGGTTTACCTCTGACTATACAATAAAGGCTCAGGTTGCCTCTGGATCTCTCTCTGTGGCCTCAGCCAGGCACAGGAAGATCCACGGAGGCTAAAGAGAGCCTGGCTATGCTGATCATCTGAACGCTGTCTCCGTGTCCTTCATTCTTCGCCGACCCCGTCCACACCTTTGGGAACCCCTGGCCTGCTGGGCCTGGACCCCGGCAAAGGCCTGGTGTGGACGGAATGAGGCCTGAGCTGGTCAGCCAGGTGGACTAGTGCAGTGTCCAACCTTGGGCAAGGGGGCTGGGGCGGGAGAGCTCAGGGCACAGAGTGGGGGTGGGGGTGCTGCAGGTGCTCTGGCCAGCCGGAGGGCCTCCCAGAGCAGGGTTTGCACCATCACTGGCTTAGGTCTGTCCAGCAGGCCCACCGAGGCCCACGGGACACATGACAGGATGTAGACACCGTCTGGATGAAGCCCTGCAGAGATCTAAGCCGGTGTGCCTTTCTGGAGGCCCAGCTGGCCTCCCTCGCGGGGCTTCTCACATCTGCGGCACCTGCGGACCCTGGCCACCCTCTCCTCCAGCCCGTCCAGGACCCTGGGCCCAGGCCCCAGGTGACCCAGGGTCCTGCAATCAACAGTTCCCGCCTCCTGGCCACAGCAGGTCTCGGAGCAGTGGCTCCAGGTTCTCCCACACGACCACAGAGCAAAACACCTGCGCACAGCACAGGCCCATCTGTAGCTGACCCTGCAGCCTCAGGAGGCAACACTGGCCCTTGCTGGACACCGTGCATCCGCATGGCCCTTACTTGTTCCTTCCTAGCCAATACAAGCTTTAAAAAAAATAGATGTTTAGATGGATTTTGGAGAGAGAGAGGAAGGGAGAGGGATAGAGAGAGAAACATCGATCCATCGGCTGCCTCCAGCACACCCCCTACTGGGGATCGAGCCTGCAACCCGGGCCTGTGCCCTGACTCGGAATCCAACCGGTGACCTCGGTTCCTGGGTCGATGCTCAATGGCTGAGCCGCACTGGTCGGGCCTATTCGAGTTGTTTAAAGTGCTGGTGGCCGCCTGTGGGCTGGCCGGGTGATTTGGGGGTGCAATTCCCTTCGGGGTTAGAGCGAACCTTCAGCAGCATCGGAGTCTTCTCCAGGCCGATTGGTTGTCCAAACTTCCCTCTGGGCACCAGGAGCCCGCCCCCAGGTCTGGGGACGGCGGGCATGCGATCCCTTTCGCCAAACTTTTCTTCTCAGAAACAAAACGAGAACTATTAGCGCTGAGTTCCCCATGGTATTCACCGCACCCGGGTCTTTGTGATGCGGTGATCCTCGCGGAGGAAAAGCGCTGCCGGGGACCTGCCAGACCCGGAAGTTTGGAAAACCCTGTCCCCGGGTCTGGGGGGAACCTGGCTGCCC